GAAGAAAACCATTAAACCTCTACTAAATTTTACAATAAGTAATATAAATCTTTTAGAGAAAAAAGGTTTATTAAATTTAAACCTACAATAAAGTATATGGTATATAACAATTTTACCTCACCAAAGATGTATTTTTTATAATGCTGTCATATTAAAATCTTATTCTAGCTCAATTTTTTCTCAAAATGAGCAACTTGGATATAATTTTAAAATAACTTTAATTAATAATAAAAATAATAAAACGACTTTTCTCTATGAAATATTTACAAATTCATTAAATATATAATCAATTATTCCGATTTATATAACAGCTTTAAATACACTATTAATTTTAGAAATCCAATTCTTTCAAAAATAATGATATTAGTCAATAAAGTAGTGAAATGTTTTCTATAACAACTCAATTAGATACCTTTAAAATCTACCTTCAATCATTTTAGTTAAAGAAGTTAGACTAACCTCTCCAAATTAATCTTTTGTATTTTTTTAAAAAATTTTTTCATATTTTTCTAAGAAGTATGATATCATGCTGAACTTAACACTAAATAAACAAATTCTTTAAAAAATAAAAATAATTATTTTCATAAAAAAATTAAATTAAAAAATATTTGATAGGAGGTTGAGCCGGAAAGTTCTTTGCGATGAGAAGATGAAGGTGGGTTAAGGTTGGCGATGTCCCGAACTCGACCTCCCTTAAAAACCAAAAGAAGGAACATAAGACTATACTGAAGTAAAGACCGGTGAGATAAGATGAATAACTGAAGAGTAGCCATTGTACTTTTTAAAATAACCTCTAAAAGAAGAAGTTAAGACTTACCTCATGATTACAAACATGACAGGAAGGTATGATGCCAAAGCCATTACAGGAGACAGCCAATTATCGCCGTAAACCCCTCAAAAATTTAAATGTTAAATATTTTAACTTGATTAAGGTAAATACATAATTTATTTTATAATGACCTAGTTTTAGTAAATACATTAAATTTAATATAAATATGAACATTATTGATTATCACTTATGTTTGAATTTATAATAAACTAAACCAGAAAAATTTAATCAAATACATTAATATTATCTCAGTAAATTTAAATACTCCTTTTAATTGATTGCTCAAACAATTATCAGCATATTCTATCGAGTTAATTAGAAAAAAAATACTTTATTATTCGATATTAACTTTAAATTCTAAAGTAGTCAATTTATTAATAAACTTCGAGTTAAATAACGGCAAACTCTTTTTAGATCTTATTAATACCAACAGTTCCTTTAAATAATTCTTAAACAGCTATAATATAACATCTTTCAGTAAAAATTATTTTATAAT